TGAGGCGGCATCGCCCCCCACGGTCTCAGTCTGCGCTCGCCTCGGCCCAGCTGCTCAGCCAGGGACACACACACACACCCCGCCCCGTTCCGCTCTCAATGTGACTTTGTGGTGCTCACCCAGAACAGACCCTTAGCGGCCGGGCCGGATCGGTTACGCCCGGGGGGGCCCCGATGAATTACTGAACAGGGGACAGATGGGCTGCTTGGCAGGGCGTTGACTCAGCCGGGGCCCGAGCCCTGGGCTGGGGTGGGGCTGGTGGGAAGGGGTGACAGTGGGGGCAGGGAGCAGCTACTTGTGTGTGACCAGATGCACCCCACCCAGTGCTGGCCGACACCGGCTCTGCACTGGATCTGGCTGGTCTGAGCCCCTGCGAGGCTTGTCGGGCCAGCTGGGCATCAGCCCCTCCCTGAGATCTGGGGTGGGTTGGAGTTGGACCCCCTGCAGGAGAGGGGCTCTTCCCAGCCCCTCCTCCCCAAGGTCCTGGGCTCTGACTCGCAGGGGTGGGGGGCTGGATTCCAGCTTGGGGGACTGCCCTGATGTCACCCCTCTGGATCTTGACGAGCCTGGAATGGGGAAGGGATGCAGAGCTGCAGCAGCAAGGCAGATGGGGGTCAGTGGTCCCCCGCACAAAGCCATAGGGCTCCGGCCGCACTTTGGCTCGGCCAGGATCCCAGTGGGCGAGGGGTCGACCCTCTGAGCTCCAGCCCGGCTCGGGTGTCAGGCTCACGTTGCGATAAGGCGGTGCTGGCTCAGCCGCCCTGGCCTGCCGCTGCTCTGCCTCCTCCCAGCCAGATGCCCTCCCCGCCCCCCACCGCCACCTTCGGGGGAGACGAAGGCAAAGCACTTGACAGAGCGAAATCCAAGCCGCGGCCTGCGCCGAACCTGAGCCGTGCCATCGAGCGGGTTCCTCTCACCCGGCGCGTGGCGGAGAGGCCCAGCGAAGACCAGAGAACGAGCAGACTTGATAGTCCCAGGTGGGCGGGGGAGAAGGCGGCACGGGCTGTTCACACCGGGGGAGTCGAGGAAGCCTGTTGTACTAGCCCCGGGGGCCAGCAGCAGGTCTAACGGGTGACACAGGAGGCAGGTGGGACTCAGGGCCCTAAATTTCTCTCAGGGGACCTGGCCCCAGCCCTGGAGCTGTTGGGACAGAGATTGCTCACCTAGCACTGAGATGCAGCCACCTCTGGGGCAGGGGCATGGGCGCGGTGTGTTAGATACCGGGTAGGATTGGCTGTGGGCACAGTCGCATGGTCAGGCTCTATGGGCCGGGTGGGGTGCTGCATACACACCTAGGGTGGATGCTGCCATTTGAAGCAGGGGTGCCTCCACCAGGCCTGGGACCCTGTGTGCTCATCATGGCCTGCCCACACCTCTTCTCCCCTTCTCCCCCCCCCCCCCCCCCCGCACAGCAGGGGGGAGAACCAAGGGTCTCTGCAGGCTCTGGTCAGAGATGCCAAATAGAGCTGTGGTGTCGCAGCGCCCCCTGGTGGGAAACCACATAGCCCGGCACAGCCCCGCACACGGGAACACTCGCACACACGCAGCCTGGCACCGCCCTGCACACAGGGACATTCACGCACACGCAGCCCGGCACTACCCTGCACATGGGAACACTCACACACGCAGCCCGGCACCGCCCCGCACACGGGAACACTCACACACGCAGCCCGGCACTACCCCGCACACGGGAACATTCACACACGCAGCCCGGCACTACCCTGCACACAGGAACATTCACACACACAGCCCAGCACTACCCCGCACACGGGAACATTCCCGCACACGCAGCCCGGCACTACCCTGCACATGGGAACACTCACACACGCAGCCCGGCACCGCCCCGCACACGGGAACACTCACACACGCAGCCCGGCACTGCCTCGCACGCGGGCACATTCACACACATGCAGCCCGGCACCGCCCCGCACACGGGAACACTCACACATGCAGCCCGGCACTGCCCCACACACGGGAACACTCACACACGCAGCCCGGCACCACCCCGCACACGGGGACATTCACGCACACGCAGCCCGGCACCACCCCGCACACGGGCACAGTCACACACACACAGCCCGGCACCGCCCCACGCTGAACTGTTCCCAGGTTCCCTGCCTGCTTGCTCCCCCCAGTTCTCCCTGATGGATGGAGCAGCTCTGAATTCAGCAGGGTGATGCCTTTAATGAGCCAAGCCAGGAGCAGCTGGATTCCCTGCCCGGACGGCCCCCACCAGCCTGGGCCGAGGGTCCCAGAGGGTCGATTTAAGGGCCAGTCCAGAGTCTGCGCCATGTAGCCACAAACAGCCGCTTGCTGAAGCCCTGAGAGAAATTCCATCTCTGCCGGCACCTCGTCCAGCGAACCCCGCAGGGCCTTTTTGTGCTGCTTTTCTCCTGCCCGGCTAAGGACAGGCTGGCCAGTCCCCTCTGGGGTGTCCTGTGCTCGGGGTGGGGTGTCCAGCTTCTCCCCCCGCCCCATCCACACCTAGAGCAAAGACGTCCGGGGAGGGGGGGTGTTGCTACTGGGCATCAGCTTGGCTAAAAGGCCCATGGCTGGCTCTGGCAGAATGGCTCAGTGGTTAGAGCAAGAGCTGAGGGTCAGGATACCTGGGTCCTAGGCCCTGCTTCGTGCACTGTTGGTATGTGACCCCTGCATCTGGGGAGGCTGGCGTGAGCACTGGATGCTCCCAAGAATTGGGAGGCAGAAGGTATCGCTGGTGCCTGGTCTGTGGCTCGGTCCTGTGTCTACCTGAGGCTCTCTTGCCTCAGGCCCGTCCTTCAAGGCCTCCCCCCAAAGCGGTGGAATGAGGGTAAAAGGTTGGGGCGCTGAGCTGGGGTGGGAGCAGGCAGAGGAGCCGGCTGGGTGGGTTCAGCGGGGAAGGGGATGGGTGAGGCTTTGGGGCAGAATGTTGGGGGCGTGGCTATGATTCTGGCACCCAAGGTGGGAGGGGCCACCACCCGTGGTGTAGTGCAGGCAGGGGTCTCAAACCCATGGCCTAGCTATGGCCCCAGCAGCTTCGCAGTCCAGCCTGTGCGCAGCTGCTGGCACATGAGACCTGGGGGGCGAGGGGGTGTCTGTATCCTAAGCCCTACCCCTGCTCTGACCAGGCCTCGCCTGGGAGAAGGCGGCGGAGGGGACCCAGCTCCTGCAGCCGGTCCCAGCCTGCCCAGGGTCCCGCCGGCCCATCCACACACGGGGCACCGTCCCGTCCGTAGGACAGCTGGGTGCAGGCCTGGGGTGGGGACGCCCCGAACCAGGGACGCGCTGGCGGCAGCCCAGAGCTAGCAGCCGGAAGCTGCTCTAGTCCCACTGGGGGTCAAATTATTTGGGGCCAGCAGGTGGGGACGGGAGGGAACGTGCAGAGACCCCCTTCCCTTCTCTTCCCTTCCCTTCCCTTCCGTTCCCCGGAGTTCTGCTAGGAGGGGGATGCGAGGTTTGGCACTGGCCCTATGGCACATTGAGTTTGAGACCCCCTGGTCTAAAGGGGTCCTGGGTTCTTCTCCCATCTGTCCGGGCCAGAAGTGGGGAGTCACATTCCCCCGGGGAGCAGTGAGTCTCGACAGCCTCCATGAGCCCAGCAATGCAAAAGAGGGGCCCTCGTCACTTCCCCGGCAGGGAGCTGTTCCCTCTAGCCTCTGGGCTGCCCGGCCCTGTCGGACGTGGTGAGCCCAGAGGCAGAGAGCTTTCCTGGGACGGAGGCGGGCGAGGGGCGCGCAGCGCAGGAGATGGCGGCCGTGAAGGCCTGGCGGAAGGAGCGCATGCGGAAGACGTACACCACGGGGTTGATGGCGGAGTTGGCGTGGGAGAGGACGATGGCCGCCAGCACCAGCGTGCCGGGAATGGGGCAGCCGGGGCAGAAGAGCCGCACGGCGTTGATGACGTGGAGGGGCAGCCAGCAGAGGGCGAAGCAGAAGAGGACGATGAAGAGCGAGGTGGCCAGCCGCCG